AGTGAGTACGCGGGTACCCAGATGTGGTTGGTGCTTGTTTTCACATAATAGACTCCTTTAGCTTCTGCCAGTTGCTGTGAATTTCCGGTCGTGAAAAATGGATCGGTAATGTATCCGTGGGTGAATAGACCTGTCAACAGTGGGTTGGTTTGGGCGAGTAGGATGGCGTGGAGTTGGGCGGTGGGGCGTGTGAGTGCGTCGGCGATGTTGGATGCGCCTTTTTTGTACGTGACCGTGTAGTGGAAGTTGGACTCCAGATAGTCCAACCAGCGAATCTATCATGGGTTGAGATTCGGTTGGGCGTGAAGGTACTGTAGAGATCAGTGGTCTGTCCGTACTGTCACGTCTGCTCCCGTGAGGTAACATCGCCACACCTTGAACGCGTGCACGATCACCAGCATCTCGCGGTCATGTATCGGGTAGTTGCGTTCGGGCAGGTGAAGCTTGCGGGACTCGTACGTGATTGGCTGGAGGCCATTCCCGAAGTCCTGCAACAGTACTGCTCCCACAGCGATATCGCTAGCGTCGGTGACGAGTTCGAACGGACGGTGCGGATCTGCAATGTGAAGCACGGGCGGCGAGCACAAAATATTTTTGAGGGCCGAGAAGGCAGCTTGCTCTTTCTCCCCCCACGTGTACTCAACCCCCTTCCTCAGCAGGTCGGTCAACGGGGCAGTCAGCTTCGCCATGTCGGGGACGAACCGGCGCACGTAGTTGACGAACCCCAGAAAACTCTGCAACTCGGTCAAGTTGGTCGGTGCGTGCCATGCTTGAATCGTCGCGAACTTTTTCGGGTCTATTTCCACTCCTGCAACTGAAATAATGTGTCCCAAAAACTCCAGTCGGTCCTGTAAAAACTCACACTTAGACGCTCTTGTCAGTAGGCAGTTCTCACTCAGTATCTTGAAAACTGCTTCGATGTCCTGTAAGTGCTGTGCTCTGTTGCAGCTAAAAATCAGTATGTCGTCAAGGTACACGATGATGCACTTATCTAAAAGCGGGCAAAAGGCTTCGTTCATGGTAATTTGGAAAGTGGCAGGGGCGTTGGTCAGTCCGAAGGGCATGACGGTGTATTCGAAAGATCCGTAGCATGTTCGGAAGGCTGTTTTGGGGCTGTCGGGTGGGTTGACGCGAATCTGGTGGTAACCTCCCCGAAGGTCGATTTCCGAGAAAACCCGGGCTGTGCGCAGTTGGTCGATCAGTTCGTCGGCTCGCGGAATGGGGTAACGGGATTTGATGATAACCCTGTTCAGTGCTCTGTAGTCTATGCACATGCGAAAACCCCCGTCTTTTTTTGGCGTGAACAGTATTGGTGCTGCGAAGGGCGACGAACTAGGGTGAATGAACTCCTTCTCGAGCAGGTAATCCAGCTGCTTCCTCAGTTCGTCCAGCTCGGGTTGGGTCAGTCGGAACTGTCGCTGTACTGTGGGCTGTGCCCCCGGTTCTAGTTCTATCCTGTGGTCGTGCGGTCGCTGAGGTGGCAGTCCCGTCGGTAGGTCGTCCGGGAAAATGTCACTGTACTGCTTCAACAGTGCTGCCAGATCACCCGGTACGTCGGCTAGCAGTTTCTGTAAATCCCCCCCTTTGTCTGCTGCCTCGGCTTCCCGAATGTCAACCGCGTACACGTCAGCTCCTGCCGCTACGGCGCGTTTCATCGTGATCGCGTTGACACGCACCGACGAAGACTCAGGCGAGCCCTAGCGAGGTAAGGCGATGTTGTTACCGTTCACTCGCACAGTGCAGTCACCCGTCGTCCAGTCGATTCGCGGATTGTGTCGGTTCCGTCGAGGGTCGTTTCGAATCCGAACTCGGTCCACAGGTTCCCGTATCGCCAGTGGCGTGCCGTCAACCAGTCTTGCGTCGATCTGAGGTAAACATCTGTCCAGTGGCAGTGTTGATAAGACTGTGGTTGGCCCCTCCGTCTACGAAGATTGTAACTTAGTCTGTCTCGATTTTCCCACTAAGTAGTATGGGGCTGTCTACCGTAGTACCCTCCTTATTCGGCCAGGTGTGGTCGATTGCGTAAACCGGCACAATCACTCGGTGAGGGTCGGTTGGGTCGGGCGAGCGGCGTGACCTGTCAGTAGAGGGCCCGTCTGCTACTGACTCCCAGCGTTTCCCTGCTGCTTGGTCTGTTTCTGTTACTCAGCTTCCCCCTTTCCCTTAGCGTTTTATAGACATTCGCTCTTACGGTGTCCCGGTCGATTGCACGCAAAGCAGCGCCCTTTGAATGGTGCGGCAGCGGCATTTGCGGCGACGGCACGTATCGTAGTGCCCTCGTTCGTCCCACGAGGCCGATGTCCCCAATTGCTGCTTCCGTAGGACCCCGGTCTCGGTCGGCGGAATAAATCGAGCTTCTCCGCCATAGCGATAATTTATTGAAAATCGGTGACGCCGCGAAGCTGGATTTCCTGAGCGATGTCGTGCTTCAGGCCGCCGATGTAGCGGTCGATGCGCTCGCTCTCATGCATGTATCCCACCTGCTCGCATAGCACCAGAAATCCGCTCGTGTAGTCTTGGACGGAACCGAGTTGGCGCCAAGTGCGGAGCTTCTGGCGCGCCGCGATCGAAGCCGCAATTGGCTCGAAACGAGCGCGCAGACCTGCGCACCACGCGTCCCACGTGCGATAGTGGGGCACCTCCATGAAATACGACGGCGCCCAGGGTCCGGTTTGTCCTTCCCGTGTCGGTAGAGTCGCGTAGTCTGCCGGCTTCGTGACGATGACACGCCACCTGTCCATGGCGGGTCCTCAGAGCAAGGACATGGCGTAACGAATCTTCGCCGTATCCTCCGAGACGTAATTCGCGTCGAAGAAAACGTTCAACGTGAATAGCCACGCCTGAACGGTAGGACCACCCCGTTGACTCGGGTCAAAACACGGCGGACGCTGCGGCTTCAGCAGCATCGGCGACGGTAGAGTTGATTCGCCGGCCGGCATGGAAATCGTGACTCGAGGCTGATTCCTGGCCGCATTCGTCGCGTCGGGGTGTGTCGTGCCATGGTCGTCGTCTCCGTCGTGGCGGACGACGCCATCACTGGCCGCGCTCGCGGGTTGCCCCACGCTTCCATGTTGCGATGTCTGAGGTGCGGGCTGTATTGGAGTGCCAGGTGCTTGGGATTGCGCTTGCTGTGCTCTTGCGATGTCGTTTTGCAGGGACGTGTGTTTTGCCGTCAGCGCCGCGATTTCTTCAGAGCTTTCGCGGATTTGCCGCAGCAGTTCGTTCAAGTGCTCCTGTGTGAGAGTGGCGACATCGATATGCTCAGCCATTGCGAAGGACGTCGGCTCGGCTTAGTCTAGGTGCAGTCGTGGCTGCACGCGTTTACGCGAGAATGCGAGGACAGTGGCTCCTAGGAACTAAGGTGCGTGAGTCCCTTCGAGTGGAAAAATCAAAAGTTGATTTCCTGGGGTGCGGAGATGCGCGGTCCGAAAAGAAAGAGGCTCTGAATACCAAGTGTTACGGGTGCAATGAATCGAAGTAGCGAGAATTGCACGAAGGTGTCAAACGAGTACAAAATGTGAGCGAAGGCATGAGCGAACATTTATACGCGAAACATGCAAACGGTAACGCGGTGCGTGCGAGCTAGCTAGTGCTACGCTGGCAGCGAGGCTCGGGCTAGTCCTGAAGCGTAGGCCGACACGGCCGGTCCAGTAGTGCGAGGTTTGGTGAAACAGTGCGCGCGAAGTCAGCGAAGCCCCGTTAGCAGTAACGAGCGAACAACGGCTGCTGCTGTACGCGGTGTTGCAGGGCGCGCTAAGGAATATCGAGAAAATTCTTTACACCTTCGCTCATTGTACTTTTGCTTCGATAGTGCAATTCTCGCTCGCTCACTCAATTGCACTCGTAATAGACACCCAATCTTGTCATGCTGGTTCATGTAAGCGTTTCACCTTCATGGCATGTTGTTTCAATTGCGGAACCCGCGGGCCTGCCGCGTCATCCGCTTTCCCATGCCCGCGGTCAACGCACTTCAACAATCATGCAGGTTCTGTGGATGTAAATATGACAATTTTAGTAAAAACAAACACAAAGTGTACGCGCTGGTCACGCCCTAAATTGAGTTGAGACACACATCTTGGCGTTTCATGTTCATGTCATGGCATGTCGTTGCACATGCGCAATCCGCGGGCCTCCCGCGTCAACCGCTTTCCCAAGCGGTCAACGAACTTCAACAGTTGGGCAGGTGTGGGCCCACAGTGGTGTGCATGGCCAAACAGCACGGCGGAACAGTCGGAAGCGCAATTGCGAGTTATCCTGGCGTCGCAGGTCTGAATTGTAACCCTTCGCGAACACATTTTGCCTCATCTCCCTGTTCTTGAAATGTTCCTGCGAAACCTGAGCTGAAGGCGCAAGTCGCGGATTTGACCTGGCGGGAAATACATCATCCCGCCAAAACCAATCGCATCCCTCCATCACACATAGCAAAAACGCTTTCGAGCCGCGTTTCCACCACACTATAAAAATGCGCATTCATCCGTCACATCAGCAGCAGCATCCCCCTCACCACCTTCGAGACATTTCACTCCGATTTTCAGCCCTCCCGTCACCTCAGCCTTCTCGTAATTCGAGCTTGTCACCCATATTTCCCCATTTTTCGTACCTGCCTGAGAAGTTCCCAGAGAGATCCATTCCTGCACGATGGGCTGCAAAATGCAAGGCACGGCGTTGCCTCTTCTGCTCGCGTTTTTAGCGGCGTCGGTGATTGTCGCGCCAGGTGAGCCCCTCACTTCGCGTGTTACATTTCGTATCCATATTGTCTCTTCGATTGCATCACTTCGCTCTTCTTATTCTCCTCTGATAGCATGCCTCTTTTCGCGCATTCTTGCTTTTCCTCCTTCAATTCCGCCATGTTCTCTGCCTTTGGTTCCGACGGATCCGATATAACGGATATAATTCGACGTTTGTTTTCTGCCTGCGCAGCAACTGCGAGGGTCCTCGCTCCGCGCCGAAGTCTCGCTCTCAAACCCCTCTCGCTCCTCAAGGTGACAACAACCAAACCGATGTTGCTGGCTGTTAATGATTTGGGCGGCGGCTCTGGCGGAGATCTGGGTGGCGGCTCTGGCGGAGATCTTGGCGGCGGCAGCGGCGACGATTTGGGCGGCGGCGGCGATTCGGGCGGTGGCAGCGGCGGCGATTTGGGAGGCGGCTCTGGCGGAAATTTAGGCGGCGGCAGCGGTGGAGATTTGGGCGGCGGCAGCGGCGGAGATCTGGGCGGACCTGGCGGGCAGCAGGGCGGTCCCGGCGGACAGCAGGGTGGTCCCGGCGGACAGCAGGGCGGTTCCGGCGGACAGCACGGCGGTCCCGGCGGACAGCAGGGCGGTCCCGGCAGAAAGCAGGGCGGTCCCGGCAGACAGCAGGGCGGTCCAGGCGGACAGCAGGGCGGTCCAGGCGGACAGCAGGGCGGTCCAGGCGGACAGCAAGGCGGTCCCGGCGGACAGCAGGGCGGTCTCGGCGGAAAGCAGGGCGGACAGCAGGGCGGCAGCGGCGGAGATCTGGGCGGCGGCAGCGGGGGAGATCTGGGCGGCGGCAGCGGCGGACCTGGCGGACAGCAGGGCGGTCCCGGCGGACAGCAGGGCGGTCCCGGCGGACAGCAGGGCGGTCCAGGCGGACAGCAGGGCGGTCCAGGCGGACAGCAGGGCGGTCCCGGCGGACAGCAGGGCGGTCCCGGCGGACAGCAGGGCGGTCCCGGCGGACAGCAGGGCGGTCCTGGCGGACAGCAGGGCGGTCCCGGCAGACAGCAGGGCGGACAGCAAGGCGGCAGCTACGGAGATCTGGGCGGTGGCAGCGGGGAAGATCTGAGCGGCGGCAGCGGCGGACCTGGCGGCCAGCTGGCGGACCTGGCGGACAACAGCGGTCCCGGCGGACAACAGGGCGGTCCCGGCGGACAGCAGGGCGGTCCCGGCGGACAGCAGGGCGGTCCTGGCGGACAGCAGGGCGGTCTCGGCGGACAGCAGGGCGGTCCAGGCGGACAGCAGGGCGGTCCAGGCGGACAGCAGGGTGGTCCAGGCGGACAGCAGGGCGGTCCCGGCGGACAGCAGGGCGGTCCCGGCGGACAGCAGGGCGGTCCCGGTGGACAGCAAGGCGGACAACAGGGCGGACCTGGCGGACAGCAGGGCGAGCAGCAGGGCGGACCTGGCGGGCAGCAGGGCGGGCAGCAGGGCGGACCCGGTGGGCTAACAGGGCGGGCGCTGCGGCTTCAGTGGCATTGGCGTCATGATGGCGTGGTCGCCACTTGTCGCCGCAAATTCCACGTGCCGACGGGCTTCACAAGGCTCCCGTGGGCTTGGCACGACCCTGTTCCTCTCCATGCCCGGCATCGAGTGGGCGGCGCCATCACTGGCTGCTCCTGAGCGCTGTCCCACGCTGTAGTTCTGTGTCGGTGTGCCTGATGAAATGACGATCGGCTCCTCCGATTGTGCAGATGCATTTGCAGGTGCGTGTGGTGGCGCCGGAGTATTCACCGTGGAGTGCTGACGCGCGGAGTCACGTTCCGCCGTGAGTGTCGCAATTTCGAGCGCCGATTCTTCGACTTGGGGCACGAGACGGTCGAGTTGCCCCATGGCGGGGGTGTCGGGCAAGCTCAGCGAGAGCCTCTGTCGTGGCCGTGCGTGCTTACGAGAGAGCAATACGAGTGGCGGTGCTGTGTCGCTGAGAGACGTCTACCCCCCCCCCAAAAAAATGAGATAGTGGGGAAACAAAGGTGTGGGTGCGGTCCGAGAAAGGATCGTAGGCTCTGAATACCAAGTGTTACGAGTGCAATTGAGTGAGCGAGCGAGAATTGCACTATCGCAGCAAAAGTACAATGAGCGAAGGCATGAGCGAAGAATATATAGCGAAACTACAGTGGTAACGGTAATGAACCGTGGGTGACGTGCGACGGGCCTGGAACCGAGGTTTGGGAAAATGTCGAGGCGGAGGCCCGGAGCGCGGGTTACCCGCCGAGCCGTGAGGTCGGGGTGCGGCGTGCGAAGGTGGCGGGAGGATTGTCACATACCAGCGCAAGGTGGTTCACAATCCATGATTGAGGTTGGCACATGCCTCAATCTTCCGAGCAAAGACATGGCTTTCGAGGCTTTCGTTGCCTGGCTCCGAGTAGCAAAACGAGAATCTGGCGTGAAACTGAAAAGCTTCCAGTCAGACGGAGGAGGAGAATACACCTCACAAATGTTCAAGCAGTACTTTGCAGAAAGAGGGATCAAGCGGCTCATCTCCCTTCCCTACGTTCACCAGCAGCAAGGCGTAGCAGAAAGGATGAACAGGACTCTCCAGAACACCATGCGCAAGCTGCTACGTGGCATGCGGCTACCCAACCACCAATGGCCTTAGTCTCTGAGCTTGTTGACTTTGCTTGTGCCTGTCGTCTAGACTACGCTGCTAGTCTTGTTGCTGAGTCTGAGTCTGTCTGTCCTCCGTCCGTGGGGGGTGAGTGTGCTCTTGGCACGGACGTCCTTGAGGATAGGCAGGAGGACTTTGAGTGTCTTGCAGCCGCTGCGCCTCATCTCGTGGCCATGCTGCTTGCCCCTGAGGGAGACCCGGATGCACCAGACATCCCGACTCCGCGTTCTTACGCTGAGGCGATCGCGGGTCCCTACTCCTCTCAGTGGCAGACAGCCATGGACGCAGAGATGGCATCCTGGAAGTCCACAAGCACTTACGTCGATGAGGTTCCCCCTCCTGGGGCGAACATCGTCGATGGCATGTGGATTTTCAAGGTGAAGCGGCCCTCGGGTTCTCCGCCTGTCTTCAAGGCTCGTTACGTTGCACGAGGCTTCAGTCAGCGAGAGGGAGTTGACTTCTTCCAGACCTTCTCCCCCACCCCGAAGATGACCACTCTTCGAGTGTTGCTGCACGTTGCCGCTCAGCGTGACTACGAGCTTCACTCTCTGGACTTCAGCACAGCGTTCTTACAGGGCAGTCTGCACGAGGAGATCTGGCTGCGCCGCCCACCTGGCTTCACTAGGTCGTTCCCTCCTGGTACTCAGTGGAGCCTCCATCGGCCAGTCTACGACCTCCATCAGGCGCCTCGGAAGTGGCACGACACACTGAGGACGACACTTGCGGCTCTTGGGTTTGCCCCTTCCACTGCTGACTAGTCGCTGTTTCTACGCACGGACACTTCACTGCCGCCGTTATACATCCTCGTGTACATCGACGACTTGGTCTTTGCCACTGCTGACACTGAGGCTCTCGCCCTTGTGAAGTCGGGGCTGCAGAAGAGACATACGTGCACAGACTTGGGTGAGCTGCGCAGTTACCTTGGCTTGCAGATCACCGGGGACAGAGCACGCCGCACCATCACACTGACTCAGTCACACATGGTGCAGCAGGTCCTTCAGCGCTTCGGCTTCACTTGGTCCTCGCCACAGTCCACTCCTCTGGCTACAGGCCACTCGCTCTCAGCTCCACCTTCGTACGAGTCCGTAGAGCCGAGTGGCCCGTACCCAGAGCTAGTGGGCTGCCTCATGTACCTGATGACCTGCACTCGTCCTGACCTTGCGTACCCTCTTGGCCTTCTGGCACGCTACGTGGCTCCTGGTAGGCACCGAAAGGTGCACATGGATGCTACGAAGATGGTATTGCGCTACTTGTGCAGTACATCGGGCATGGGGCTCGTGCTTGGAGGGCGGAGCTCAGTTGTCCTCACTGGACACTCAGACACTTCTTGGGTTGACGACTTGGCTACGCAGCGGTCGTCACAGGGTTACACTTTTAGCCTTGGCTGCGGCTCTGTTTCTTGGCGGTCTACCCGCTCGTCTTTTGTTCTCAGCTCATGTTGTGAGGCTGAGATCTACGCTGGGGCCATGGCTGCACAGGAGTTACGCTGGCACACCTACCTGCTGACCGACTTGGGAGTGCAGCCTCGTTCTCCTCCAGTTCTGTACGTAGACAACAAGGCCGCCATTGCCTTGTGTCAGGAGCACAGACTGGAGCACAGAATGAAGCACATCGCTCTGCGTTACTTCCTGGCTCGAGAGTTGCAGCAGCGTGGTCAGCTTCGTCTTGCTCACGTGGCCACTCGGGCCAACACTGCTGATATATTCATGTTTGCATGTTTGCTCTTGCTAGGTAGTGATCACTGTATTGTTGTTGCTGCATATATACCTCTGCATGTGAACTGGCTTTGTGGCCTTTTGCTTGTGCTCGGAGTGTGTGGTGACGTTGTGATCCACCCTGAGCTTGCTTTGTTTTTCTTGACTGGTCTTGTGACCCCTTGTTCTCCCCCACTTTGCCTATGGGGCTGTGTCAAACTATATATGTGTTAGTTTTGTGTCGGCTATAGTGGGGTACAACACAAAGTTAGGGTTAGTACTTGTACCCACATTTCATTCAATGCAACCATTCCTGCTTGTTATCTTGACAGGGCGCGCTACCCGCGGGGCGCGCTGCCTGCGGGGCGCGCTACCCGCGGGGCGCGCTACCCGTGCGGCGCGCTACCTGCGGGGCTGGGGCGACGGGCCAGGGCGACGGGCCAGGGCGCGGGCTGGGGCGACGGGCTAGGGCGCGGGCTGGGGCGAGGGGCTAGGGCGCGGGCTGGGGCGACGGGCCAGGGCGCGGGCTGGGGCGACGGTCTAGGGCGCAGGCAGGGGCGACGGGCTAGGGCGCGGCCCTGGGGACGGGCTAGGGCGCGGGCTGGGGCGACGGGCTAGGGCGATGGCCTGGGCGACGGGCCAGGGCGCGGGCTGGGGCGACGGGCTAGGGCGGGCGCCTGGGCGACGGGCTAGGGCGGGCGCCTGGGCGACGGGCTAGGGCGGGCGCCTGGGCGACGGGCTAGGGCGGGCGCCTGGGCGACGGGCTAGGGCGGGCGCCTGGGCGTGGGCCTGGGCGACGGGCTAGGGGCGCAGGCTAGGGGCGCGGAGGGCGCTAACGCGCGGAAGGGGGAGGGAGGCGCGGAGATGGCGCAGAAGGCGCGGAGGCTAAGGCGCGGAGGGCGCGGAGGGCGCTAGGGCGCGGAGGGCGCAAGGGCGCGGAGGGCACTAGGGCGCGAGCTAGGCTAGGCTAGGCGAGAGGATCGACACCTTCTCATGATACCATCTCAAAGTTAGCGAACAACGGAATGGATGAACTAGCAAAGTGTTGGATACAAATAGGAAACCCTAGCATCTGTACCCTCTAGAATGCATCTCACTACAGCCTATAACTATTATATTTGACATGGTGTACCGAGAAGTGCACAGCTGCAGCGTCGTTCCATTGTTGACGACCTACGTACCGACTTCAATGTCACCAGTGTACTGTTATCTTTTGATGTACTTAGCTATACAATTAGGTACAACTTTTAATAAACTCCAATCCATCCAGTGTTCATACACCACTTACATGGCCATGCCATATGCCCTCCTCAATAGCTCAGGTCAGCAGCAGCAACCCGGCAGCCCTATCCATGGAAATCATAAGGCATACTACCACTGATATATTCCCCCCCCCAAAACCCAAACCAAGCCCAGCCCATCCAACAATCTTTATGGGGGCACTATTAAAGACCTGGTAAGGAATGGAGGTGCTGCCTTGTGTCCTGATTTGGTGGTAAGGACATTCCTTGTGTCTTGAATCCTGATGATGCCATTTACCAGGGTATTGGTTTGTGGCCTAGGCCTCCAAATGAGAGACATCTACCAGAAATGATGGGTTGGAGGCTGATTGAAATTCTGCCATGCTTTAAATAAAGGCACAGTCTATAAAATAGGAGGCTTTTCCTAGGTAAGACCAGAAGGTAACAAGGCAGAGTGATACGGAACAGTAAAGAAAATTGGGCTAAGTATCCAACTATGCAACAGACAAGATTCTACATACATAATACAACAGCGAAAATTTTGAGGCGCCTAAAAAACAGAACTTCTTGCAGAGACGATTTTGCAGGTACTGTATTTCACTTCTTTCCGCCCTTGCCACCCTTTCCCCCCTTCCCTCCCTTTCCACCCTTGCCGCCCTTTCCCCCCTTTCCTGCCTTCACACCAATCTTTGAGAAAGTGCTGTCTCCCACATTCTGAAGAGTAGTAATCCCTCCAGATCCCCCGCCAGATCCCCCCTGATCTCCGCCAGAACCACCCTGCTGCCCACCGGTTCCCCCCTGCTCCCCACCAGCACCTCCCTGTTGTCCGCCAGGTGCCTGCTGTCCGCCCTGCTGTCCGCCCTGCTGTCCACCCTGCTGCCCGCCAGGTACGCCCTGCTGCCCACCCTGCTGCCCGCCAGGTCCGCCCTTCTGCCCGCCAGGTCCGCCCTGCTGCCCGCCAGGTCCGCCCTGCTGCCCGACAGGTCCGCCCTGCTGCCCGACAGGTCCGCCCTGCTGCCCGCCAGGTCCGCCCTGCTGCCCGCCAGGTCCGCCCTGCTGCCCGCCCTGCTGCCCGCCAGGTCCGCCCTGCTGCCCGACAGGTCCGCCCTGCTCCCCGCCCTGCTGCCCGCCAGGTCCGCCCTGCTGCCCGCCAGGTCTGCCCTGCTGCCCGCCCTGCTGCCCGCCCTGCTGCCCGCCAGGTCCGCCCTGCTGCCCGCCCTGCTGCCCACCAGGTCCGCCCTGCTGCCCGCCAGGTCCGCCCTGCTGTCCACCCTGCTGCCCGCCAGGTCCGCCCTGCTGCCCGCCCTGCTGCCCGCCCTGCTGCCCGCCAGGTCCGCCCTGCTGCCCGCCCTGCTGCCCGCCAGGTCCGGCCTGCTGCCCACCGGGTCCGCCCTGCTGCCCGCCCTGCTGCCCGCCAGGTCCGCCCTGCTGCTCGCCCTGCTGTCCGCCAGGTCCGCCCTGTTGTCCGCCTTGCTGTCCACCGGGACCGCCCTGCTGTCCGCCGGGACCGCCCTGCTGTCCGCCGGGACCGCCCTGCTGTCCGCCGGGACCGCCCTGCTGTCCGCCGGGACCGCCCTGCTGTCCGCCGGGACCGCCCTGCTGTCCGCCGGGACCGCCCTGTTGTCCGCCGGGACCGCTGTTGTCCGCCAGGTCCGCCCGCTGTCCGCCAGGTCCGCCGCTGCCGCCGCTCAGATCTTCCCCGCTGCCACCGCCCAGATATCCGCCGCTGCCGCCCTGCTGTCCGCCCTGCTGTCCGCCGGAACCGCCCTGCTGTCCGCCAGGACCGCCCTGCTGTCCGCCGGGACCGCCCTGCTGTCCGCTGGGACCGCCTTGCTGTCCGCCGGGACCGCCCTGCTGTCCGCCTGGACCGCCCTGCTGTCCGCCTGGACCGCCCTGCTGTCCGCCGGGACCGCCCTGCTGCCCACCCTGCTGATCAGTGTACTGCCTTGCTATTATAACTCTGCATGTGAATTGGCCTTGTGGCCGCTTGCTTGTGCTCAGATTGTGTGGTGTCCTTGAGATCCACCCTGAGCTTTGTTTTGCTTTGTTCTTTTGCTTGACTGGTCTTGTGACCGTTCGTTGTGTTTGCTATCCCCCACTTTGCCTATGGGGGTGTGTCAAATTCCATTTGTATGCTTCTAGGTTGTATGGGGCATACTCTAGTGAGTACAGCCCTTTAGGGTTTCATACTTGTACTCATCCTGCTGCTCAATACAATCATTCCTGCCTGCATATTTTAACACCTGTGACCGTTGTTGTTCTTGCTATCCTCCACTTTGCCTATGAGGGTATGTCGAAACTCTATGTTTATAAATTGCTAGGCTATATTGGGGCTAGCCTTAGGGTGTACAACATTCCTAAGGTTTCATACCTGTACACCTGTTCATTGGTCAAACTCCTTCCTGTTCAGTAGATTAATGTGGAAAGAGAGGAGAGTAGGGATCACGTGGAAAGGGAGTTAAGTGGGAAGCACGGAGAAAGCGTTTAACGTGGTAGCACATGCGAGGGAGGTAAGAAGAACGTGCGTTGAAGCCGAGGATGCTTATTACGGTACATCAGAGTCCTTTCCTCACTCCGTCGGCCCCGCCCCTTGTTCAGACCCTGTTGCGAGTGCACGAGAAGCGGAGGGATGGGCAAGTGACCAGTGAGTCAAGTGGAGTGAAGGGATGGGCAGGCAGACCAGGGGAAACATGCATAGCAGGCGAGAGAAGTCAGGAAGTTGTTCATTATGGGGCAAGATCTGGTGCTGCATGTTTTTCAGCATTTGAAAATATTCGGTCTTTAGATAAGATGAAGTAACAGAACATCCAACAACATTGCCAAATCGCACAAAGACACACATCCACCAGCCCACAAGCAAGAAACCTAAGAAAACAACCTCAACCACTCAGAAAAGCCTACCTTTCAGTACCATCAGCTGCACTTCCACTGCCCTCCTCCAATCTTCCATCATAGCTTCTTATTCCCATCGACGGTAACTGTGGCGTTCCTAGCAATGGAGCTGGGAAGTGCACACGCCATGCACCTCGTGAAAGAGCCTAGGCCTTGGCATCCTTGGCATCGGAGGGGCCTGCCTTGCGGGGGCTGTTGTCGGGCTTCTTGTTCTTGCCAGTGATGCGATCACGAATGTTCCTGAAGAAGCTCTTGATCGCATTCGCCGTCCTCTTCAGCACCCCCGGCTTCTTCTCCTCCTCCTTCTTCTCCTCCTTCTTCTTCTCCTCCTTCTCCTCGCTCTTCTTCTCCTCCTTCTTCTCCTCGCCCTTCTTCTCGTCCTCGTCAGCCAGCTTGCGTGGAAACTCAATCCCTTCCTCCTCATCCCCCTCTTCATCCTCAACCTCCTCCTCCTCGTCACTCTCCATCCCCTCCTCCTCCTCCTCCTCCTCCTCCTCCTGAAGCTCCCTGGGCATCTCAAGTCCGTCAGCCTCATCACCCCCCTCGTCCGCGTCACCATCCATTCCACCTGCTTCCTCCTCGCTCTCGCTGTCCTCCACAAGAGCTCTCCCCTCCTCCTCCGCCTCCTCCGCCTCCTCCACATCCTCGCCCTCCATCTCCTCATCTTCGTCCTCCACTTCCGCCAGCACTCTGCCCTCTTCCTCCTCATCCGCCTCCTCACCCGCCATCTCCCCGCCCTCCGCCTCTTCCTCCTCCTCCACATCTCCGCTCTCCACCAGCATCCTGCCTTCCGCTCCCTCAATCTCCTCCTCCTCCTCCTCCTCCTCGCCATCGTCCACCTCCTCATCCTCCTCCTCCTCTCCCTCTGCAAGCATCCTTCCCTCCTCGCTCTCCTCGCTTTCCTCGCTCTCCTCCTCCTCCTCGCCCACCTCGCTCGCCTCGCTTTCCTCCTCCCAGTCGCCCTCAGCCAGCATGCGCCCCTCTTCCTCCTCCTCGTCCCCTTCCCCCTCACCCTCCGCCATCTCTCCCTCCATCTCTTCCGCCGCGCTCTCCTCCTCCGCGCCCTCCTCCGCCAGGCTCCTGCCCTCCGCGCGCTCCTCGACGTCCGCCTCCCCCTGCGCCTCCTCATCCCCCCAGCCGCCGTCCCCCAGCGCCCACCCGTCCGCCATCTCCTCCCCCTCGTCGCCCTCGCCCTCTTCGAGCGCCATGCGCGGCCCGCCGGTCACAAGGCCGGTCGCGTCGCTGCCGGTGGTCCACGCCGCGGGAGACGGGTCGCTGCCCATGGGATCATCGCTGCCGCCACTCCACGAGCCCGCAGCGCTCACCATCACCGACGCGGCCGGCGCGGCGAGCAGCGGCAGCAGGGTGGCGAGGAAGAGCAGCAGCAGCGGCGAGGGCGCGCGCGCGCCACGTGGGCGGGCCATGGTGGCGGCGGGAGGGCGAAATCGAGGAGCTGGTGCGACGCACGCTGGGGGCGACGGTTGCGCGCAGCTGGGAGCGCGTGGCGAGCTGAATGGATGCGGCTGGACGCTTCAAGTCACAAATCTCGATGAGCTTCTTCTCTCCTAATCTGGAGCTGCTCCTGGTGTGCGTGGTGGAGGAAAGCGAAAGATGATGCTTTTCTCAAGGCGGAACCACCTCTCTTTATGCGCACCACGATGACCGAGCGTGCCACGCCATGGACGCCGTGACGTTGCTTGCCGTGGCTCTGCCCGCCAGTTGCGGCGAGAGCGACGGTGAAGTCGCGCGGCGGCAGCGGTGTGCTTTGCCGCGATCATTGTTGGGTCGACGAGTGAGCTTCGCAGCGAAATGCCGCGCACACCCAGTCCCTTGTGACACCTCGACTGCTGAAGCCTGTCGCGTCGCTGGCGTACGTGCGTCGGTGGGAGTATGAAAAATGATAATTTTTAAACACACGAAGTGTTTTTCAAAATTACGTATTTCGAAAGCGCAGCTGCCTGTAACGCAGATTTGGCATCGTCGAAGCGCGCTAAACGCCCTTCTCCAACTACAAAACGTGGGTTGGAGATCATTTCCCTCCACCCACGTCTCTCATTTTCCAACGGCTCATGCAACTCTCAGTTCCTCGAGCTCATTTCTAGTTTTCCGTTCAAGCTGGCTAGAACTCGCTCTCTACCGAGAGGCGTTTCACCTTCAACTTTATTAGCTGACATTCTCAACCACAACCGCTCGACTATGGCTGCTACTGTCAGAATGTTATAATTGTCTAGCCTGCAGTGGGGTACTCTATAGCGAGTACAACCCAATTAGGGTTTCCTATATGTATGCCAACTGCTGTTAGTGCAACCTCCTCTCTTCTTCATTTCCTCATTCTTCACATGCTTCCGCTGCTACTCTGTGTGCTACTCTTAGCGGCCCCGTCGCCGCCCTTCTCGGCCCCTCGCGGCCCCTTCGCGGCCCCGTTGCCGCCCTTCCAGGCCCCTCGCGGCCCCTTCGCGGCCCCGTCGCCGCCCCTAGCGGTCCCGTCGCCGCCCCTAGCGGTCCCGTCGCCGCCCCTAGCGGCCCCGTCGCCGCCCTTCGCGGCCACGTCGCCGCCCTTCGCGGCCCCGCCTCCGCCCCTAGCGGCCCCGTCGCCGCTCTTCGCGGCCCCGTCGCCGCCTCTAGCGGCCCCGTCGCCCTTCGCGGCCCCGTCGCCGCCTCTACCGGCCCCGTCGCCGCCCCTTAGCGGCCCCGTCGCCGCCCTTCTCGGCCCCTCGAGGCCCCTTCGCGGCCCCGTCGCCGCCCCTAGCGGCCCCGTCGCCGACCTTTCAGGCCCCTCGCGGCCCCTTCGCGGCCCCGTCGCCGCCCCTAGCGGCCCGTCGCCGCCCTTCCAGACCCCTCCAACAACCCCGTCGCCGCCACTTGCGGCCCCGTCGCCGCCCCTTTCGGCCCTGCCTCGACCCTGCCCCGGCCCCGCCCCGGCCATGCTCCGTCGCCTGTCGCAGCGCACCGGGGGCCCGTGCACCGCCCCCCCCCTCTTTTCCCGACGCCTGTCGAGGCGAACTGGGGGGGGGGGCGAGCGTCGCCCCTTCTGCCGCCTGTTTTGGCGCCCTGGGAGGCCGCGCGTCGGCCCCCCCCCCTCCCCCCCCCCCCCGTAACCTCCCTACCCGCCGTCCCGCCCTGCCCTGTGTTAGGGTCTGGGGGTGGCGAGTAGGGGGTGGCGGGTGTGTGGTCTCCCCTGCTCCTCCTCCTCCTCTGTCTCCCACTGCTACAGCTGCCGCTGAGGGGGGTGGGTGTGTGGGAGTCGACGGAGTGGTGCCAGGGGGTGGGGTGTGAGTGAACCTAGGGTGCAGCAAGGGGTGTGTAAAAGGGGGGTCCTGTGGGAGTGGAACTAGGGTTTGAGCAGGGGGTGTGTGTCGAGGGGTGTGGGGCAGCTGGAGGAGGTTGTGTGAAGGTAGCTGTCGTGTCGCCTGCAGCGCCTGTAGTCCGTTGCCCTTGCTTCGGTAGCCAGTGAGCCTGTTGCACCAGTCGCTAGTGGGTCCGTTGCTCCTGCCGCTCGTCTATAGCCGCGGAGCCAGTTACTCCAGTAGTCCGTCGCCCTTGCTTCGGTAGCCACTGAGTCAGCCGCTCCTGTGCCCGTGCCTCTGCAGCTTCAGTCGTTGCCTCCCATCTTCTCTCCCTCCACAGTTCCTCCTCCTCCTCACTTGCCCGCTGTGATTAACTCTAGCTTTGCTCCCTATTGTGAACTCCTGCTCTATGCCTGCTTGCTCACTGTGCTGATTACACCCCACTTTGGCTATGGGGGTGTGTCAGAATGTCATAATTGTCTAGCCTGCAGTGGGGTACTCTATAGCGAGTACAACCCAATTAGGGTTTCCTATATGTATGCCAACTGCTGCTAGTGCAACCTCCTCTCTTCTTCATTTCCTCATTCTTCACAGCTACGCCGCCACTTAACCGCGCGAACAACACCGTCGTCAACGACTCGAATATTTCCGACACCGATCGTAACGCCCGGGAAATGTCGGGCGAGCGCCGCAACAAGCGCCGGGCAGACGGCGAAACGTCCGCCCCAACAGCTGTCGACGTGCTGCTGGGCGGGCTCGAGGTCAACAAAAACGCCGAGCGGCACCAGCAGCACCCTTCGGCGCCTGTGGCGCCTGTGGCGCCTGTTGCGCCAGTGGCACCCGTGGCACCAGTGGCGAACGTGGCGCCACACGCGACTGACGCGGAGCACGCGCCTGAGGCACACGCGCCCCACAGGCAGTCGCGTCAGCGCCAGAGGCGCCGTACGGCCGCCTCGTCTGACGCGACCGTTGACCCGGACTTGACCCAGGCGTTGACCCCGGACCAAGTCAAGGCGCTCCTGTCCCTGTTACAGCATCGACCCGCCAGCGCAATTGAAGCCGAAACTACACAACCGGCGGCATCAATTTCGGCTAAAAACGAAAATTCGAAAAAGGAGAAGGGAGCGAAAGGAGCATCAACACGCCGCCACAACAAGGAGGTAGCTACCAGTGTTCCCGAAGCCGCAGCCGACGACCACGACTCCGACGACTCTGACGACGACGCTGGTGAGGCTCCGATCAACGCAGCAAATGTCACATCCATGGAAAATCTCCCCCCCCTTCCTTCCACCACCCCCACCTTTTCGGCGGCAAACTTCATGAAGGCGTTCGTGCGCGCGAAGGCGGAGCCCCTGGAGGACGTGAGGGCCTACCTGAAACACGCGGAGTACAAGCTGCAGCACGACGACACGGCGGGCGGACTCGAAATGGTCATGAACGCCCTCGACTACATTTCGGAGCGTTTTGTGATGTTTCAAGTCGAGGACCACACCGACGACCGCGTGGCAAAGCGATTCAAACTCTACCAACAGAAGAGTCTCCTGACTTCCCGCCCGTTCAAGCACGCGGTAGCTGATGTGGCGGCTATGGATCGCGCGGAGGGCGCGTACGCTCGTTCCCACCGCGTTGGAGGGCATGGGCCGACGGCATACACCCCAAAGCGTGGACCGCCGCCCACGGGTGGCTTCCATGGCTTCCGTGGAGCATGCTTCCGTTGTGGCCAGCCGGGTCACGTGGCAAGCGGCTGCCCGAGGAACGGGAACGGTGGCCAAGGTCCCGCACCCGTGGTGTAGGGGCGGGCCTTGAGCGGTTGCGCCTTGTGCGCGTGGCACGGTGCACGTCATGTGCAAAATCCGTGGGCAACCCAAAGGGGTTAGCGATGGCGGTTGGCCAGCCCTAGTTAGGGGTGATTGATAGGCTAGAGGCCTAGGATGCGGGGGAGGGAATTACAAACCTCTTGGCCCTTAGTATTAGCCCATGCGGTAGGGGCAAAGGCATGCTAGGAGCATGGCAATGTATGGCCCGTTTCATATAAGGGCGGACTTATTAAAGGAGCGATTTCTGATTTTGGCTCATGATGAAAAAAAAAAAAAAAAAAAAAAAGGGAGAGAGAGTGAGAGCGAGAAGAAGACGAAGGAGAAGAAGAAGAGAGAAGGAGAGAAAGGGAGATGGAGGCAAAAAAAAAAAAAAAAAAAAAAAAAAAAAAAAAAAAAAAAAAAAGGGGCGAAGATATGTACCGTACGACCCCTATCAATGGCCCTTGCACTCATCGGACGGGCAGCCATTGCCTTGGGTGAGCAAGAGTGAGAACAAAAGAGAGGGTGTGTGTGTGTATGCGAGAATGAAGAGAGGGAGAGAGAGAGAGAGAGGGAGAGAGAGAGGACACGAGAGAGTTCCTTCCCTCTCCTGTTGTGGCCACGTGACCACGCGGAAAGACTCACACCCGCACCTTGGTTGGTGGATTGGAAAAAAAAAAAAAAAAAAAAAAAAAAAAACCCCGTACAATGCGGATGCTAGGGGTGACAAATGGTATTCGAATGGGTCAAAAAGCACGCATTCATCACATGCACCGCCATTTCACGCACGAAGGCTGGAAATCATATCCATAGGAACCTCATTTCGCATTCCCGCTCCATTGTCATTCCGCAAACATGCAGCGGCAATACGCCATGAGGTGTTCGACGACGACGATCCGTACGAATTCGCCGTCACAGACAAGACCGTCACGCAAATGCGCGGGCGGCTTCGCGCAACCCTCGCATGGTGGGGCTCGTGGTGCCCAAGTAGCCTCATCCTCTCGGTCATCGCCAACGGCTACTGGCTACCATGGAGCCACAACCCCCCACAACCGTTTCACGAGCGCAACCATCTCGGCGCGCACACACACGCGGCATTCATACGCACTGCCATTCGCGAACTGACAGATACCGGAGCGGCGGTAGCTACCCCAGCAGCGGAACTAACATGCATCAGCCCACTCAACGTGGTTGAGCAACGGGACAAATGCAGGCTTATTCTCGACCTCCGGAAAGTGAACACGC